GGGGGGGGTGTAGTACACTGATGCAGTTTTCCCATTGATAAAACGCAATGTGCACTGGAACATTTTGACCTCTAGAGGGCAGTGTTACTGCATGCTCACACAGCAAATTTCACATTGATGGTACAAACTCCTTAGTGGAAGATTTTGCCACTAAAAATAAATAAATGTATAGCTTTCTAACTCCAACTTCTGAAAAAAGAAAAAGTGTTCATTTGTATTCTTTTTGCTCCTGTGGTAGAAACGACCTTCCATACATCAGCACAAGAGAGACTGTGCTGACCCCCAGCAAAGAGAGACTGATGGGAAACAGTTTTCACTATAATGCTGGTCAATTTAAATTTACAATAGAATCTATTACAAGTATCTGGAGATGAGTGACAGAGAAAACATGTGCTTTAAAATGAAACTATACTAAATCTAAGATGGAAAATTAAAGACCAATTAAACAGGTCCAGCAGTGAAACGTGGAGAAATAACAAGGAAGAAACTTTTAGGGTTTTAATCGTGGCTTAGGGGATTAATGCTGCTTAAAACCAATCATTTAGCACACTGATAACCTGAGGGCTTCAGACTCGCAGTCTTGTAATTATTCACACTGATGAGTCAATTTATTCAGGCCTGACTACAGATTTGCTAATGCTTGCATGTCCTACAACTATCATACGCATGCATGTGTAAATCCAAGGAAGAAAATCCAAACATCATTTTTGGATTTGCTAAAATTCTTTTGAGCTGGACTTTTACTAAACACACAGGCTCCTACAGGCACACAGAGAGCCTTGTTATACACTCAGTTTGAATGAATACAAAAGCACAATAATTAATATCTGTTAACAACAAAACTTTATATTATTTTTATTTATATCTCAAGGCTGATATTTTCTGGGGTTCAGCTGTAATAGCAGAAGACTTTATTTCCTTTGTTTACCTGCTCTGTGGAAGGGGTCGTTGGCGTTGAAGACTGTCGTGAAGAAGCCGAAGGGGAACGCTCCGATGCCGAAAGACATGTGGAAGCCGGTGTCCCCGAAACCGCGGAACATCTGAGCGAAGAGAGAAACCCGGCAAAGAAGCTTTAATATAAGCTAAACTCAGCTTTTTATTTAAAAACCAGTGTGAAAATATAAACCAACTCACCCCGCCTCTGCTCTCAGGCTCTGTTCTCTGCCCCTGAGGCCGGGGTGGAGTTTTCAACCTGAAACAGCAGAAACAGTCAGAAAGAAGCTAACAACCAAAAAAGACACACACACACACCGAAGACTCTGCTCACCTGGGGTCCTCCTGGCTGGAGCTCCCTCTGCCGTACAGCGGGATTACTTTCTCTCTGCTGATGCCTGCCTTGCACACGGGACACTGCTGTCGGCTGGGCCGCGTCTCCAACCACTGATGAGGAGGAGCAGAGCAAGGAGAAGGATGTCAAAATGATTGCAATACACGTCACACAAACCGATCTTTATTTGCCGATTCAAGAGTGGAACCTAAGTGACGCTACCCGCTGCATTTTCTAAAACTTTATTTACAGCAAGAGATGTGAAGCACAACATGTTTACAGTGGTGAGCGGTGAAGGAAGTGGCAGTAAGAGGAGGCATTAAGTACATTAGCATCTTTAAGCTGCATTAAATCAACCGACAGGTGCAGCTTCCACACTGAGCTTACATCATCACCCTGAACTGATTGTGCTGATTACAGGCCTCCTCTCAGGACTGTGGACCTTCACTGAGGTCTTCCTCGCTGTGCTGTTAGTTTGACCCCCTTAAAATGAAGCCAATAATAATCCTGAGCTAAATGCTAGGAGCCTTTACAGACTGCTTCAGCACAAAAAGCCCCACCCACCTGCTGTCTGAACCTTGTGGGGGGCAGCCAATCAAAAAAAAGTTTACTTAAATGGAAATCAGCTTATTTAAGAAAGCTGAGGAGCCTCGTCAAGTTCCAGTATAATATAAATAATCATAATTTTGAGCTGTGAATCAGGTACACTTTAAAAACAAATATCACAATTTTCAATATTGAAATTAAATGACCTTGAACTGCTTAATCAAGTCTCTAAAAACCCTGTAAAAACACTACAGGAAGTATGAAACACTCACCTGATGAAGACAGGGCCAGCTGTAAAGAGCGAGAAAAGAAAAGATTAATTTACATTCTCACAACAGCATCTTTCAGTTAAAATAACAGACAAACCTGCTTCTCAAAGGTGGCTGATTAAAATGCTCCCTATTGTTTGCATTAATTGGCTTCATCTGTTTTCAAGACTGCGGGCCAGGCCAACCTGCTGCTGCATTGTGGGAGGCCAGGATGCAGGTTTGGGGAGACGCCCCAACACTGAGGTATTTTCAAGACAAACAGTTCTCAAGTGCTGAATATTTCTTCATATTAACAGCTTATAGCTATTTCAAGGCAAACAACAGAAACTGTTTTTGTCACTTTGTGTCATCCACACAAAATGACCAACCTTGAATAAGAAAAAACATATTTACAGCCTGGTACAAAAAACTATTTGGTGGCTGCTGACAGAGGTGGATGTGCAAATACAGTAACTTTTGGCTTATGCATCCATCTTTTATATATGATCTGCACCACTGACATTCTGTCTCATTGGATATCAAAAAAACCCAAAACAGCAATGGGAGATGCTGTTTGAAATGAAAAGAGGGAGATCAGTTTCACTTCACTGTGCAAGCAGTGCTTTCCTTGCTTGCCCTGCTGGAACAGCACTCGCATTCCTCTAACCCCATTCATCTACTGTTTTAACCTTCTGTTCGTCAGCGGTAGCCAATCAGAAGAAACTTAGATTAGTTGGTTTAAAGATTTCAAGAATAAAAAGTATAAAACTTAAAATTTCTCCTTGAAGTGAGCAGAACATTTTTCCACTGGCAATATTTATAAAGAAAACACAGTCAGCAGATTTAACTGTACCTTAAGTGTGCTGGAAAGGTGAAAACAAATTTCTGTGGTTAAAGTTTCCTCTAAGTGCCTCAACTGTTTTCTGTTTGTAAATCCTTTCTACACGCCAGAGATTCTTTGTCAGATAAACTGATAACGTTAAGTAACTAGTGCAGTAGTACTTATATAATTCTTTTCTACTCTAACCCCAGTCATGCAGGGGAACAGGCAGGGCTTGTTTTTGACACCATAACAATTACGTAACATTCACCGCATCAGGTGAGCCCAAGTCCACAACTTAATGTGAACAAACTAACAACCAGCAGAGCCAATCCATAACACAAAACCCTGTGTTAATCTGCAAATCTTTACACACATGCTCAGACTTTCACAGCACGTCTCAGTGTGTACATTGCTTTAATACCAGCTATCAGATTGCTGCTGAGAATGGCTTTCTCGTGGATACCAACAGCTGAACAAAGTGCAAAGCCAAAGTTAATAAAACAAACAAACCACAAGCATGTGGGCACACGTTTAGACAACCTGAAACTAGCTGCTTAATATCAAATAAGTGGCAATGAAGCCAGAATGCAGACTATATGCCTCCTTACGGTACCACAGACTCAAGTGACGTCACTTGAGTCATTTTATAACATTAAAACAAGAATGCAGCAATTAACAAAACAAAAACCCTACTTTGTGACAGCGGGAAGGAAAAACCTTTCAACAGGAAGAAACCTCTGTCAGAACCAGGCTGACCAGAACCAGGCTGGGCTGAGGGGAGCGGGACAGGACAAAAAATGCACTGTGGAAAAGAGCCAGAGATTAATAATAATCCAATAATCCGTACGGCTCATTCCATGTAAAATTAACTTAATTTGGAAGACGTTTCCATCTTATCTCAATAGAAAACTGCGTCAGGCTGAACAGCAAGTAAACTGACTAATCCTGAGGCTCTGATTTTTCATAGCAGCGTTATTTTTGTAAAGACTCTTGCGAAACCTTGTCCACACCTCACCAGATAAAGCCAGAAATTTCTGCTCTCTTGTTAAGAACATGTTCGAGTCTGATCTATGCTTGTCATTAACCACTTTTAAGTTAACCATAAGCGTCAATAAAGAAAGCATAGGACAGTTATGTTATCCACATGAGTCACATCACATTAGTGAGCCTGAATAATCAAACACAGCAGAAACATCAAATAGAGAACTGCTTCCATATCTGTCAGGCTCCAACCTAACCAACATCTTTTATCAATCCTGCCATATTATACTGCACACCTGATTTGCATGCAAGCTTTTGTTTTTATGCTTCATTTCTACACTGTTTACTAGGGCTGCTCGATTATGGCAAAAATGATAATCACGATTATTTTCACTGAAATTGAGATCTCGATTATTTGACGATATTTATTTAACTCTTTAAGTCCTACCATAGAACCAAGTCCGCCAGAGCTTATATTATTTTTTTTACATGTTGTAGCGCCATTTGTGGGAGCATTTCAAGTTGCTATACAACTGTTATAGCCCATATTTTAATAATATGTATGCATTAAGTCCATAGTAACTACATTAATTGCAAAAAAGTGCAATAAACTACAAAAGAATTGAAAATCGTTTTTGTTTTTTTTACATATATTTCTACTTGGAGAAATTTAAGAGGTTTATCCCTCAAAACTTTAAATACAAAAAAGTTGCAAAAAATAGTTTACGACAACAGGAAATTTATTTTGAGTGTCTTCATAGTTTTATTTTGGAGATACACCAATTTTTATATACTGCAGGAAAAACGAAAAAACAATCCTATGATGCAAATTTGCAAAGAAAACAGCAGGTGCATCAAAATAAACTATTTCCAGAAGTGCAATTTGAGTTCTAAGCATCCCAGAAACTATTCAGAAAAGTCAAACATGACCAGTGTAGGCTTTTAAGGCCTACAAGTAAAAAACTACATGTTCCGCGAAAATGACGTCACTTCCGGTTTCGGCCAGGAAATGGCAGACATGCGATAGTTCGCGCTGACGACTGTTTCACTGTGGGAAATGTTCTGAACAGCTGATCGGACCGGCAAAGCGTCTTTCTGGAATATTATGTTTTTGTTCCTGCAAGTGCTGTTTATGCAATTTTTGCAAAGCTATATGTGGAAGGAAACCGTGACCGAGGACAAGCTGATGGCATAAGATGTAAGTACAACTCCTCCGGTTTCATATGCAAAACAAATTATTGCGCTAGCTTACACGTTCAGGTTCTACAGGAATTTAAAAATAGTTACACAAAACGGAGCGTGCTGCTCTGACCGGCTTTAAAGGGTTAACAATGACTTTAAAAAATAATATAAAATAGTGTGCAACACCACTGAAGTTTTTTTAACCTCTCTTTTCAACCAACGGCAGTCACTCTCCTCTCCAAATAACTTCTGCTTAGCTTTCCGAGCTTCCCTCGGGTCCTCTTAATCAGCGGTCTCCAACCTTTTTTGCGCCACGGACCGCTTTATGCCCGACAATATTGTCACGGACCGGCCTTTAAGGTGTCGCGGACAAATGAGGGAGGGGCTAATAATCGGCTCAGTCATTTTTAATGATCGTTGAAAGCCCAGATCGTAATCGTGATTAAAATTCGATTAATTGAGCAGCCCTACGGTTTACACTGAACAATGTGACCTATAAGCAGAATCAATAATTGCACTGGTGTTGATAAAAGATCATCAATCACTCTCTAAGCAGTAACTGTAAAATATCAATATCTACAATATATAACTATTTTCAAAAGATCCAGCACTGCTTTACAGCACATTAGCCTATTCCCGGAAAACATTTCAAAGTCACGTTTACTGCTGGGAATGTGCAACAAACCACAAAGACACAGATTTAAAAACAGCCTCATTTCAGCCCCCAGAGATGGATGATGCACTGGTTTTCATCGCAAAGAATAAGACTGTCCGCAAACATCTCGAGATACAGGCGACCAAAAAAATCCTAAGAACCACTTGTTGCATGACATGATCGAGGAAGTGAAAATAATACCTGATGCAGAAGAGAATCTCTGAATACACGCAGGTCAAACCTTTAGTCTAACGAGTGTTCATTTCAGTATTTGGATGATAGTCAGAGTTAGGTGTAGCATGAAAGCAAGGATCCATCCTGCTTTGCATCAACAGTTTAAGCTCCTGGTGGTTTGATGGAGTGGAGGATATTTTATTGGTACGCTTGGTATCAACTGAGCATCATTTAAACACCCCTGTCTACCTGAGTATAGTTACTGACCATGTCCAACCATTTATGACTACAGTGCACCATTTTCTGATGGCTGCTTCCAGCAGTTTAACACACCATGTCACAAACCTCAGATCATCTTAAACTGATTTCTTGAACATGACAATTAGCTCACTGCACTCAAATGGACTCCGCAGTCATCAGATCTCAGAGCACCTTTGAGATGTGATGGAACAGGAGACTCGCATCATAATATGAGCAGGAACTGTGTGATGCTATCATATCAATATGGAGCAGCACATTGTTCGATATATGCCACGAAGAATTAAGACAGATCTGAAGGCAAAAAGGGGGTCCAACTCCTAAAAGTAACCAATGAGTGTAGATTTATGTAGTGATTAAAAGTTGGTGGTTCCCAAAAGAGGGTTTAGGATGTCTCCAGTCAGATTAAGGAAAACCTAAATGTAACTATTTTATAATCATACCTTTGTGTCAAACTCTTCAAGGTTTTAAATATCTCAACTGAAACGCGGGATTCTTTTCAGAGGCTTACTGGATAATATAAATGAGCATATTTATTTTTTTGATACATTTCTAATTCTAACTTGATGAGCTCTCATCCTGGAGGAGCAAATTCATTTGCTCTGCAGCCTGTGTGGACGACAAGTATGCTCGAGTGTGCGCTCACTCTGGGACTGTAAAGATGTCACACGCTCATTAACCTTGAAGTGTTAAAAGGAAATTAACATCTCTCACACATAAATCTGGAAGCTGCACAATGTATAAACTAGCAGGAGTCTACCGATGGAGAATCGGCCACACACAGTCAGAATGAATGCTCGGCTGATCAGGTGAAAGGCTGGGAGTTTCATGTGGTTAAAAAAGATTAGATGTAGGCTTGCCGCGCTGATGCAACTTTAATCTAAAGGTGTTCTTCTATCCTTGCTGACGGTTTCATCATTGCCGTTTCATCAGGACTTCAGAGAGCAGAGGGAGACACGAGTAACACGGCAACTAAATTACATCAGCACGTAACGAGGGAGCCTAAACACAACGCTGTAAGGCAACTGTGCCCCTAACTGTAGGGTTGTTTCTACTGATTAACAGAAAAGGTTACTGATAAACAAAAAAAAGTTCAACCAAACTAAATTAAGCCTGACAAAGCCGGGCGAAGAGTGAGTTTGGTCCTTTTGGAAGGACCAAAATAGACAAACCCGCACCAGAATTGTGTAATGATTAGTAAGGTTCTTGTATTTCACATCATTGTGCGAAACACTGTCGCCTCACAGCAAGGAGGTTCTAGGTTTGAATCCACTGGCAGCCGGAGCCTTCCTGTGTTGAATCTGCACGTTCTTCCTGTGTTTGGGTAGGTTCGGCTTCCTCCTACAGTCCAAAAAACATGCATGTGGCCATGGAGTCGTAGATAAAGTGCTTGAAGTCTATACAATATGTATGTATGCAAGTATGTACGCTTAGCTGGGGTTTGTAGTCTAAATGAGCTCTTAAAGGCCTTTTTAAAACTACAAGCCACATTTACCCTCCTCCCCACACATGCAATGTTTCATTCTATGCCTTTAGGTTTATCAGGGTTTCTGGTTCAGTCACCTGCAGACTGGAGAAGCCAGTGGTAGCTGGTCTGCTCTAGTTCTTGCCTGCTTAGATTTTGCAACCCTATCAGAATTTTCATTTCAAATAAAAGACAAAATAAAAAGTTAAATTACAGGTTGCTCCTATCATGTTATCTCCTGCGGATGAGATGATATGATGGATCTTGGACAGTTAAAACACGTCTGTTTTTATTTTCATTTTTGCTGCTGAGCTTTTCTCCACCCAGCAAACGCCTCACCTGTGAAACCGAGAAAACAAACATCACAAACATGTCACTGTGTGAGCCCACACAGGTCTCTGTTGCCAAAACACACTCATCCAGCCTTTGTGACTTAAAACTACAAACAGGTGCCCACTACGCTTTGACATCAGCTACAGTTCTGCTGGAAACGATTAGGATGACCTTCGGGTTGGCCCTAATCCCACATTAACCTCAGCCAAGAGTCACAACTCATGAATGAAGCCACCACATCACTGAGCGTGTGTAAATATTCAACACAGAGTGGACTGAAGGTTGAGCCTTGTGCAAAGCCAGAGCCAACGGTGATGGAACAAACTAGAATTACAGCTGTTACCCAACACTTACTTTCAGTCTTTGATAAAACTTGTCAGCTATGCCGTTTTCTAATCTCAGGATTCTGGCTCAGCGAGGCCATAGCTACAAGGCGTTTTCACTGCCCATTATGTGCATTCAGCATATTGTGAACCTGATCTGAAAAGCTGCCCATGATCAGCAGGGAGGTGGAACACAGAAGTTGATGTGTCACCGATCAAACCAGGCGCCAACTGCAGCTGTGACCTCTGACTAGGGCTGGGTGGTCTGACCAAAAACTTGCATCACAGACTTTTAACGACTCGTGTGGTTTCACAGTACGCACTTATCTTGGTCTGTTAAATCAGACATGAAACACTGAGAACTGATAATAATCCAGCTATGAAACTGCTCATCAGCTGAGAGTCTGCGCTTCAATCCCAGACTGATTAATTTGAAATCCACTGTGGTGGTGTACATCTGCTGATTCCAGAAACTTTATTCCCTTAAAGGACATGAGATCACTCTTTAAGGCATTAAAAAGGCGGCTTAGTTCACGGGTTAAATAAAGTTCAGCTACATACTGAAGACAAACACCCTTCACAGAGTTATCTAATAGTCTCTTATCCCGTTCACAACCGACTGATTACCGGAGCGTCGAGGGGCGTGATTCCGCCGTTAGAAACAACCCAAAAGGAGGCCTAACAGGCGGCTAAACAAACCACACTAAGTCCGTGTTTGCGAAACAAATGAAACCAGCACGTACCAGAACAGGTGTCCGCACAGACTGATGACGGCGTCCCTGGCAGTGTCCAAGCAAATGTTGCACTCGAAGGTGGCTCGATCCCGCTCCCGTTCGCTCTCCCCGCTGCCGCCACCCGAACCGTCGCGGTCGTTGCTGCTCTCCCCGGCCGGGAACCCTCCTCTGCTGGCCGGCCCGCCGTCACTCGAGAACCGGTGATCCGCGGCCGCCATAGTGTTTATTTTCCAAACGAAGAAAGAAACGAAGCGAGCCAACCCGCAGCGGCCAAACCCGAGCTAACGTTAGCTGTCAGCGGTAACGGTTGCTGCTGTCACCGACCGAGCCGAGGCTGCTGTCTCTGCCCGAGAGACGACTTCCGTTTCCGGGAGAAACAGGACGCGTGGGGTGGGCCTAATTTAAACACCACCGCCACCATAATAACAATAATAATAATAATAATAATAAGAAGAAGAAGAAGAAGAAGAAGAATTACTGACACGTACACCTTCGTCTCTAGCCAATCCTCATTTCGTTTGTGGTAGGAAAATAGGAAAATAGAAGCGATTTATTGAAACATGACAAAAACAAACAAAAAGAATCGCTTAATAGCTCTTTGGGAAACACAACATTCTGGCAAAAATGCCATTTTATTTCCGTCAAACTCTTATTTTTGGCATTTTTCATAGACTCGGCTAAGGAAATTGTAATAAACTTTGTTGGGCTGTGAATAGCAACGTTATATGTAGACACAACACTGGTTCATCCTTTTTTTTTATCCTTGAATGATTCATAGCTCAGTGTTAAGTGGCTTAACTCACAGAAAACGTTCCTCTGAAAATAGTCAGGTAAGGACTGAAATAAAAAAATAAAAAAATAAACAGCTGCTTACACCACTTTAAAAATCACAAGAAAGTCTGGCTCCATAGAAGTAAAATATAAAGATATGAGTAGTGACTCGAGACTGTTGCACAGCATAAAAAATGTAAACTCTAACGCCACAACAACAAAAACATTATTTATTCACTTTTACTGTTTAATGAACTTCATGAAAATAGGAAGAATATTTGCTGCTCAAAGAAAAATAATTAATAGCGACAGGCTGGAGGTCTTCTATAATTTAAAGCAAATGTTTTACACTAACAACATACAAGAAAGAAAGAAAGAAAGAAAGAAAGAAAGAAAGAAAGAAAGAAAGCGGGAACTTTAGTCCTACATGTTGTTTCCAGTCGGACAGTTGAGGGGAACCGACCGTAAGCGTGTTGTGTACAGCGCACATGCTGTGTTTGATAATTCTAACGTTAACAGTATTTTCACGGTTAACGCGCGTCACTGACGGTTGTTTGTGTTTTAATACGCGCTCTTTCATCACTGGCCCGCCGCCATGAAGATTAAGCGGCAGAAACAAGCCAAGAAGACGATCAGTTTCTACAAATACAACTTCGGCTTCAGGGAACCCTTCCAAATCCTCATCGATGGAACTTTCTGTCAAGCGGCCTTGAAGAACAAGATTCAGATCAAAGAGCAGATGCCCAAATACCTAATGGGAGAGGTGCAGTTGTGCACCACCAGGTGAGTGTATTCACCTCTGAGCACCCCCCTCCTCCCCACCCACTACCCCCGGTCACTTTTTGGCACAACACCGTCATCATACACCTTTTAATAATATGTCCACGTGTTCACGTTCAGCTGTGCGCTGAAGGAGCTCGAGACGCTTGGAAAACAGCTGTACGGGGCCAAGATCATCCTGCAGAGGTTTCAGGTCAGGAAGTGTCCGCATTTCAAGGAGCCGGTCTCAGCATCAGAGTGTCTGCTGTCCATGCTGGAAGAGACCAACTCGCACCACTACTTCGTTGCCACACAGGTAAATAATGAGATGAAAGTGGGAAAATATTTTTGAAAGCCAGCTTTGGGTGCTCCGATAAACTCGATTCCCAAAAAAACATAATGGAGCGATTTGCATTTTCTACCCAGAGTTGAACATAGAAAACGTAGAAAATGCTTAAATTGATTCCTTTTACTCTTTTGTGAAAACATATTGGCTTATTTCGAATTTGATGGCAGCAACAAGTCTCAAAAATTGTTACAGGGACATGTTTTGTGTGTATTATGCCCTGTTCTTTTGACAACAGCCTGTAAACATCTGGGAACCTTGGAGATGGGCTGCTGAAAACTTGTTTTCATTCTTGTCTGATTTGGGATTATAACTGCTCAGTGGAGCAGATGACAGATAAGTTACAAATATCTCCTTGGTCTCATTGTGTCTTCAGGACCACACAGTCACCACGGGGCTGAAGAAAATTCCAGGAGTTCCTCTGCTTTACATCATCCTCAACACCATTGTGCTGGACAAGCCAAGCCAGGCGTCCCTCAACCACGTCCAGGCCGTCCAGCTGGGAGAGCTGATCAGCCCGGCCCAGCAACAGAGTATCCGAACCCTGAAGGAGGAGCAGGGAATTGGCCAGAAGGACGGAGAAAGGCGTGGGAAGAAGAGGAAGAGGAAACAGTCCAACCCCAACCCGCTGAGCTGCCTGAAGAAAAAGAAGAAAGGAGTCCCGACACCTCCGCTGAAGAAGACAGAGCAGGAGGGGAAGAGGAAGAGAAGCCGATACAAGAAACGAAAAGTGGAGGCAGGAGATGGCACAGCTGCACCAGCAGCTGCTAATACATAAAACAGCAGGAAGACAGAGACTTCAACCTTCTCCATTCACCTGATTTATAGGTTTACTTTTTGATATGACTGCAGAGGAAAAAAAACGTTTATTACATAATATTTTAAAAATGCCATTTTGTAATGGTATTTGTTTTATTTTGAAAAACCTTACAGGTAAGGGAATGAAACTATTCTCAGACAACATCTTTATGATTTCTTTTATACAAAATCAAAAAAGCAGGTTTCGTTACAGGCACATAGTTTAAAATATAAGATGCACTCAGACATTAAACAGTTTACCCTTTTTCTTTTTTTTTAGATGGAAGGGGATATCAAAAACAATGCATTTAGCTGTCTCTGGACACACTAACTTGTTTCCACTGTTGATATTTCGTGCAGATTAAATTTAAGCTGCAGTATTTTCTCATACCACGATGACTTGCAGCAACAAAAGTCCATCCAGTTTCCATCTGATCCTGTCATCCAGCCATTCTAGAGATTAATAATGAAATCTGCTTTTAAATGAAAAAACAATTCATTCTCTTTAGCTGCTATACAGCAATACAACAATAAATTAATACTATCAAAAGTGACACAGAGCACAACTACTTAATTGTCTTAATAAACAAGACAGTGCATCACTGTATCCATATACAATAAGGACACTGAGTAAAGTGAATCTGACCTCAAGTTATTTTAAGGATTTGAAAAAAAGTAACATGGCAATGAAAAGAAATTTCACACAAATTGGACTCGATTCAAATATTTCAGGATAGCATGCAAGTATAGCAGACCACTCATGTTTTTATCTATAGGCTGAGGTCCCGAAGCTAGGTTTTATTAAACTGTGTCCCAAATCCACAGCACATAGTAACAAGGTCCAAGACAACGTGATGAAAAGTCTCAATATTTCATATTTTATACTAACAGGCAATGATGGAGAAAACTTAATTCCTTACAAGTTTAGAGAGGAAGCAGCAGGAGTTGTTAAAGGTGTTCCCAGGCCTGTTTTATCAGAATTTAAAATCTGAATCAGGAAAAGTGTGCATAATCACGATGCGCTGGAAAAAAAAAGGTGATTTTTACCCCTTAACCTGAAGGTTGATGGGGTTTTGTTATCCCCTGGTCAGGCAGGCGGGCCTCAGACAGCGTGAACATGAGAAAAGGGCGATATAAGATTTTCAAATTGATGCCACAGATTTCTTTACTAAAAAGAAGTTAGAATTTTGGTGAAATTTACTGAAAATTAACACAATTTAAATTGTTTAAATAGACCTTTGACAATAAACAATGAAGTTTAATCACTGTTTTGTCACTTTTACTGTCTTTCCCAATGCCGGTAAGAACACACCTTGAGTAAGAGAGCAGCCATAAATTAACGGTGCATAAATTATGCTCACTTTTAATGTTTCCGTCATGACCCTCCTGACACAAATCCTTCCAGAGGATTTGTGTCAGGAGGCTGATAGCCATCACTATTTTTAAGTTTGCACAATCCTCGAATCCTGCTTAGAAATTAGTATGTTGTGTGGATTTGGGTCATGTCTATTTTTTTTTTTTTTTACTGACAGCAACAGCAACAACAACTTAGAGTCTGTAATACTTAAAGTGCTACTCTACAGCTGTATAATGATTAGCTGCTGGTTGAGTCTGTAGAGAACTACTATAATAACTGTTTAAATGTACTCTTGGAAACAGTGCATGCTCCTTCTTCCTAATATGATGGTGAGAGACTTCAGAAGTAAACCTTCACCTGCAGTAGTGAGAAAAATGGAAGTAACATGTTTGACTGACTGTAAACAAATCATTACACTGGACTCCTTCACTTTGGTGAGACGGCAGCAAACAATGAGATGCAGGTGATCCTTTACAGTGATTGGGATATAAAGTGAGTAAATAATAAATATGTTCATTGTTTGAGTTCCAACTACGTTAGTCAGACCCACTTCCACTGAACCACCACTGCTTCACATCTAAATGATGCAAAAATGAAACCATTTCACAAACAAAACAATCTCAGCATACTTAAATAAGACTTGTGTTAAACTAACAGATAGTGCTGCTGACTAAAAGTACTGACCTCCGAGCAGTTTTTTTTTTTTAAAAGATTAAAAGGAATGGGTTTTTTTAGACGATGTGGAAGCGAGGACCCGGCGTAGCGATGATATCACTGTAAGGCTCCTCCTGAACAAGCTCCACTGCCTGCTGCTTCTTCAAGACCAGAAAGCTGTAGAACTTGGCAGCTGCCTGCTTCCTGTTGTTGTTCCTGCACAGATCCAGCAGGCTGACCGACTGGGCACCGGTTTTAGCCATCACCCTCTGTGATGCAGTGACAAAGAGTGTGAGCAAGAGGAAGCCTGTCATTTTGCATACTTTGATATGGAAATGGATTTTAAGCTAAGGTACATCTACTTATACAATGCCAGTCGGTAGTGTTAATATTACCTGATGCTGTGGAAATCTGCAAATATATCGAGTATGGAGCTTGCCTCTGGCATAAAAAAATGCCATCCGCAAGCGAAACTGTCGGGCTATTACCTAAAAGTGTTATAATATAAGATAATAACCCAAAATCTCAACTGAGCTCTGCCTGAGGTCAGACTCACAGGCCTGACCTTACACACTTGCGCTCACTACATATTACTCAAATCTTCAAATATATTCCAAATACACTTAGTATAAGTATACATGTATTGTCAGCAAAGTTTCCAAAAAGTAAACCTAATCAGCACTTTAGCAGCCTTGTAAAACAGCAACAGTGCGCCCCAGGGCAGCTGTGGCTACAATGTAGCTTGCCATCGCCAGTGTGTGAATGTGTGTGTGAATGGGTGAATGACTGAATGTAGTGTGAAGCGCTTTGGGGTCCTTAGGGACTAGAAAAGCGCTATACAAATGCAGGCCATTTACTAAATATGAATTAAAAATTTGACCCTTTTTATTGTAAGTATTGACTTAAGCATTGATTATCTGTCGCACATTGTTAGAATGGGAAAAAAAAGGTTTGCAAAACCCCAGAGTGTGTTTGTGTGTGTGTGTGTGTGTGTGTATGAGGCTACTGCGAGGTTTTTAATAGATGATGGCTTGCAGTCTGGCACAGGCCCTCTGGCAAATTTGTACTTCAGTTCTGTATGAAAAACTTTATTATTGTATTAGTGTGTCTGTATTTATAACCAAACCAATTAACCAGCATCCTCTCATCCAAATATGGGGAAAAAACCCTAAAGTTAAAGTTTCACAATGTAGATTTCAAAAATCCAACAGGATAGCATCCTGATTGTGTCAATGGCCACAATCCTAAATTCTCTAAGTCATCTGTAAAATCACAGCTGTGGCTGATTTAAACAAAATAAGTCATAAAAACTTGTATTGGTGGTCTTTTGACATAATAATATAACTGAATCTGTGAAATAAATTTTTATTTTATGTTATGCACTTTAAGATGTTTCATGTTAACTCCTTGTGAGTTTAGTTGGACTGTGTCATGTTTTACATCTTAATTTTAAATCTAAAAAAACAAAAAACAAACTTGACACCATTAGACTAGAAACAATTCCACTTCAGAGAGGATTCATATGGTTTTCTACTGCACATGAGTATATTTTGGGGAAAAAAAGGTAAAATAAAAGCACATAAGTTGTTTCTTCATACAACGAGATGTCAGTCTCCCTTCTTAAAGCATGCAGAAACATCCAGGGTGTCTCAGTGTGTGGATCTGAGTTCAGATATTTCTATAAGTTGTACCAACAACTTATCACTCTGCTGTTTTCTTATCTGGTAAGATGAGATCACATACATACCTGGAGACCATGAAGCATTTGCTGGGTTCTTTTATTCCACCTCCTCTCCTCCTGGTCCTGGTCTCCTCCCTGCGCCTCCTCCTGACATAAATACACATAAATCCTTATACCAACTTATAGATAAATAAACTACATAAACATGAGTTTGCTTATTTACTCTGAATAAATGAAAAAGGTGTGCGAAAAGTGAAGACGCAAGGTTTGGGAATCTTTATCTCACCTCTTCATCAGAGTCATCATCATTCTTCTTCTTGTCCTTGTCGGTGAGCAGGTCCAGTTCTATCAGCTGGCTGATGTTGGTGGTGATTGTTTCCTCCGGGGGTACCTCCACAGTGGATGCCTCGAGCTGTTGGGGTGCATTAGATGGTCTGGACCCCTGCTGTTGCTGTTGCTGCTGCTGCTGTTGGTCCAAGGCCCCCATCTGGAGTGAGGAGGGGTCAGAGGACACATCAGAGAGACAGAGAAAGCACAATGTGACAAACTCTGAAAAACATGTACTCACAGGGAGGGCTGGCTCTGTGTCCTGGGCCTTGCGTTTCAGGCCTCGTTGGGAGGATGGAGGTGGCATGACTGACTCATCCAGGGTTGTCCTGCTCCCCTCTACAGCTGAAGTCTGCAGCACGCTGGCCTCTTCCATGATGGTCTGGTCTGGAAAAAATCAAGAACATATTTTGTGCTACCTCAAATGAACACTGGTGGGAAAACCAGTGGGAAAATATTTTCACAGACTGTATGTAAAAGATGAATGTAACATAGTCCAAATATAAGATGTGATGAATGATGGGGCAGATCTTACTGTGGAACATGTTTCAGTTTAGCTTATTTCTATAGAGCTCTTATCTTTGTTCTAGATGTCTTGTTCATGCATTTGTATAAATTTTGTTATTAAACGCTTGCATTTCACATTAGTCTTTACCGCCTGTCTTATTTTACATTTGTTTTCTTAAAACACTTTGCAATGTATGTATGTGAGAAATAATATTTAAATAAAACTGCAAATAGAGACCATAATTTACTAAATTAATTTCAGTTTGAGGCACTTTATGTTTACTTCATTTTTCAGACTTTTGAAGCTATTCTATCTTTTATATGGAGTCTGTTTCTTACCCATGATGTCTCTCTGTTGGTGGCCTGTTGTTTCCTCTCTTGGCACTTCTGGGTTCTCCAGATCTTTGAGAAACTCATCCAGACTGTCGGCTTCTCCACCTTTCCTCCTCTTCCTCAGTTCATCTGGGACTAATGGTGTCAGGCATCT